AAGGCTGTATCACTAAGTATCTGCTCATTCTGAAAAATGTCCGTCCTTTCTGAATTGAAATGAAAGAGCATTAGAAACCATATCTGTCCAACCTGTTGGAGGCGCTGCATTTGCCTAGGTGGACTGGGCAGAAGGCGGTTCTGCCCAGGAGCCGCGGTGTCCACACGTCAGTTTCCAGAGCCTGGGTTATTGGGAGCCGGCTCAGAGCGTCAGTTTGCTTAGGTGTGTGTGCCGAGTGCCCTGTGTGCTGTATTCCACCACACCTGCGTTGGGCGGAACAATTCAATCTTCGTTGGGAGTATTGCCTAGTCTCACTCAGTTCACCAGGGCCACATGTACAGTGCTCAGAGAGGAGATTCTAATGAAAAATACAAATGTAATCCTAAAATTACATGAGAGGGAATACTTTTAAGTTTAGCAAATATTAAAATATCACAATATTGGATTGGCTGCGGTGGCGCACGCCTGTAATCCCAGGTACTTGGGAGGTCAAGGCAGGAGGATCCCTTGAGGCCTGAGGTTCAGACTAGGCAACGTAGCAAGACCCCAGCTCTACAAAAGGAAAAAAAAGGTCAGGCACAGTGACTCACACCTGTAATCCCAGCACTTTGGGAGGCTGAGGCCGACAGATTGCTGGAAGGCAGAAGTTGGAGACCAGCGCGGCTAACGTGATGAAACCCTGGCTCTACTAAAAATACAAAAATGAGCCAGGCGTGGTGGTGCTCACCTGTAATACCAGCTACTCTGGAGGCTGAGGCAGGAGAATCGCTTGAGTACGGGAGGCAGAGGCTGCAGTGAGCCAAGATCGCACCGCTGCACTCCAGCCTGGGCAGCAAGAGCAAAACTCTCACCAAAAAAATAATAATTAAATAATTCTTCCCTTTCGACTAAGTAATTAAGAACCGACCCTAGAGAATAGCAGGAGACAGGACTAGAGGTGAGCAGGCCTAAAAGAAGGGACATGGAGCGGCCTAAGTGTCCGGGAGTGGGAACACGGCCTCGTCGTAGGGTGAGATACGCAGCCTTTAGTTCTGTACTTATTTTTATGTATTTGCTTTTGGAGATGGAGTCTCGCTCTGGCGCCCAGGCTGGATTGCAGTGACACAGTCTCGGCTCACTGCAACCTCCGCCTTCCAGGTTCAAATGATTCTCCTGCTTCAGCCTCCCGAGGCGCTGGGACTACAGGCATGCGCCACCATGCCCAACTAATTTTTGTGTTTTTATTAGGTACGAGGTTTCACCATATTGGCCAGGCTAGTCTGAAACTCCTGACTTCAAGGGATCCACCCACCTCGGCCTCCCAGAGTGCTGGG